GTACACTGCCTGCCATGAGTTAAATTGTGAACATTTTAATAAACAGACCCCAGGATTTTCCCTGGTCCTTCCTATGTTTAGCCTACTCTTCTACCACTTCTTCACTCTCAAAGTTTCCTATTTTCTCTACTTTCAACATACATACTTTTTTGAAATTTCAAAGTCCAAGTGTTTATTTATATATATCAGAAATCAATTGACTTTTGTACATTACCTTATATTCTGCAACTTCGCTATAATTTGCTTTTTTTCCTAGTTTCCCAAAGTGGAAGCTTATTTATTTTAGATCTTTCTTCTTTTCTAATATATGCAGTGCTTCCACTACATCCTACAAATTTTGATAAGTTGCATTTTCATTTAATTCAAAATATTTTTAAATTCTCTTGAGATTTCTTCTTTGACCCCAAGTGTTATTTAGAAGTATACTGTTTTTTTGTTTGTGTGTTTGTTTTATCCTCACCCGAGGACATTTTTCCATTTTTTGTTCAGGTAGAGTGGGAGGGGAAGAGAGAGAAACATCGATGTGAAAGGGACACATCGAGTGACTGCCACCCGCACGACTGACCAGGGCCGGGGACAAACTGCAACCGAGGTACGCGCCCTTAGCAGGAACCGAACCCGGGTCTCTCAGGACTGCAGGCCGACGCTCTAACCGCTGAGCCAAACCGGCCAGGGCTAGAAGTATACTGTTTAATCTCCAAGTATTTTGAGGTTTTCCAGCTATCTGTTACTGATATTTTTAATTTCATTGTGGTCTGAGAGTACACATTGCATGATTTCTATTCTTTTTCATTTGTTAAGGTGTGTTTTATGGCCCAGGATGTGATCTGTCTTGGGAATGTTTTATGGGAACTTGAGAAGAACGTGTTCTCTGCTATTGTTGGATGAATTAGTCTATTGATGTCAATCATATCCAATTGATTGATGGTGCTGTTGAGTATGTCCTTACCAATTTTCTGCCTGCTGGATGATAGAAGGACTGTAAATTCTCCAAGTATAACAGTGGATTCATGTGTTTGTCCTTGAAGTTCTATATGTTTTTGCTTCATGTATTTTGATACTCCGCTTTTTAAAAAAATATTTTTTCTTTATTGATTTTAGAGAGAGAGGAAGGGAGAGGGAGAGATAGAAACATCGATGAGAGAGAACGTCAATTGCCCGCCTCCTGCATGCCCCCATTAGGGATTGGGCCCACAACTTGGGCATGTGTCATGACCAGGAACTGAACTGGTGATCTCTTGATACATGAGTCGATGCTCAACCAGTGAGCCACACCGGCTGGGCTCTATACTATGCCTTTTTTTATTTTTATCCTCATCCAAGGACATTTTTCCATTTGTCTTCAGATAGAGTGGGAGGGGGAAACAGAGAGAGAGAGACATCTATGCAAGAGAGTCACATCGATTGGCTGCCTCCTGCACAACCCCAACTGAGGCCGGGACCGTACAATAACCCAGATACGTGCCTTTGACCATAATCAAACCTGCGACTCTTCTGTCTGCAGGCGGGCACTCTAACCACTGAGCAAAATTGGCCACATTTTATAATTCTATTATCTCCCTCCTCTCTTAGCATATCAATTTTGAATTTCTTCTTTTTTTGGGGGTGGTGGTGGTGGTTAATCCTCACCCAAAGATATTTTTCCATTGATTTTTTTAGAGAGAGTGGAAGGGAAAGAAGGAGGGAGAGAGAAACATTGATATGAGAGAGACATTTTGATTGGTTGCCTCCTGAACAACTCCACCCAAGGCTGGGGATCAAACTGAAATCCAGGTATGTGGCCTTGACCAGAATCGAATCTGAGACCCATTAGTCCATAGGCAGGCGCTCTAACCACTGAGAAACTGGCCAGGGCTGCATTTCTTTTCAAGAATTTTGTACTGGTTACCCTAGAGTTTGCAATATACATTTACAACTAATCTAAGTCCCCGTTCAAATAACACTATACTGTTTTATGCTCCGTGTAGCTACCAAAAACCAGAATATTCCCAATTCCTTCTTCCTATCATTGCTGTCATTCATTTCACTTATCTGTGTGCTATAATCATCCAAAAATTGTTTCTATTATTTTGAATGAAGTTATCTATTAGACCAACTAAAAATAAGAAATAAATTATTTTACCTTCACTATTTCTTCTCTGATGCTCTTCCTTTCTTTATGCAATCTGAGTTTCTAACCCATTTTCCTTCTCTGAAAAACTGCCTTTAATATTTGCTGCAAGGCAGATCTCCTAGCAACAAAATTCTTCAGTTTTTTTTGAGTCTTTATCTCTCCTTCACTTTTGAAGGATAATTTTGCTGGATAAAATCCTGTTGGTGGGGTTTTTAACACCATATTAAGTATTTCCACTCTGCTCTTGCTTGCATGGTTTCTGTCAAAACATCCAAAATAATTCTCATCCATGTCCCTCTATTAGTAAGATGTTTTACCCCCCTGGCTTCTTTCAGGATTTTTCTCTCTGTCTTTGGTTTTCTGCAGTTTGAATGATATATGCTTAGGTATAGATTTTTTTGGTATTTATCATTCATGCTGTTTTCTGAGCTTCTTAGATCGATGCTTTGGTGTCTAACATTAATTTTGGAAAATTGTTATCCATTATTTCAAATATTTCTTCTGTTCCTTTTTTCCCCCTCCTTCTGGTATTCCCATTATACCTATGTTGTTACACCTTATATAACTGTCCTATAGTTCTTGGATATTCTGTCCCATCTTTTTTTATTATTATTATTCTTTTTTCTATTTGTATTTCAGTTTGGGAAATTTCTTTTTTTTAATTTTATAAGAGTTTATTTGAGCCAAATTTTTGAGGACATGCCCAGAAGCAAAATCTCAACAAACTGAAAAAATGCTCTGGAGAATGAGTTTTGAGTTCCCTTTATGCATTGAGAATCAAAGGAGAAAACATAAGGAAGGTACATGAAATAAATCCATTGGTGGTCGCTTAAAGAGGCAGGAGAAAGCAAAGTGGAGAAATCTCTAGAACTAGATAAAAAGGAAAACAAAGAAACACATACTTCTTTTACATTGGCAGTATAGGATATTTATTAACATCTACAATATACAGACATGGTATTTGGGGAACAAGATAACAATGAAATGTTCTGAGGTCTCATGTTCTGGTGGTCTAATACTCTGGTGCCTGCAGTTGTACCTTCAAGAGGTCTAGAAAAGAAAATTACTCTGACATTTCGAAGGTATGTTATCTTAGATATAGGGAAGTTTCTATTCATGCATCTTCAAGTTCACTGATCTTTCCTCAGGTACATCCAGTCTAATGATGAGCCCATCAAAAGCATCGCCTTTTCCATTCGTGTATTTCTAGTTATAGCATCACGTTTTAATTCTTAGAGTTTTGATCTCTCTGCTTACATTACCCATCTGCTCTTGAATGTTTACTTTTTTCATTAGAGCCCCTAGCAAATAAATGACAGTTGCTTTAAATTCCTTGTCTGATAGTACCAACATCCCTGCTATAGGTTAGTCTGGTTCTGAGGCTTGCTTGATTTGTCTCTTCAAATTTTTTCTTGCTTTATATCATGTTTTGTACTTTTTTGTTTTAAAGCCAAGCACAGTGTATCAGGCAATAGGAAATGAGGTAACTTCGGCTTTAGTACAAGGTTTTATGTTAGTCTGGATAGGAGCTGTGCTGTAGTGTTTGCTGTGGTTGTAAGCGGCAGAGTCTTCTATTTCTTCTATTTTCCTTGTGTTGTTTACCCAAGAAATCTTTCTTAAAAGGTCTGCTTTGCAACTGTCAGTCAGAATCCACTGATTATACTATTGCTGGACAGGTATTTGGGCATTCTATAATCTTATGATTATATCTCTATTTTTTTTTTTTTTTTATTAATCCTCACCCAAGGATATTTTTCCATTCATCTTTATATGAATGGAAGGGAGGGAGAAAGGGAGAGAAACATCAATGTGAGAGAGACATATTAACTGGCTGCCTCCCACATGACTGCGACCAGGGCCAGGGATCAAACCTGCAACCCAGGTACATGCCCTTGACCAGGAATCAAACCCGTGACCCTTTAGTCCATAGGCTGAAGCTCTAACCACTGAGCCAAACCAACCAGGACTATATCCCTATTTTTTATTTGGCCCAAATCCCTGGGCTGTGACCTTCAAAAGTGTTTTTTTCTTAGCCTTTTTTTCCTCCTCTTGATATGCTACAGGAAGGTTGAACTGGACTGGACTTGTCTGCCTTTGCCCCAGGTCACATAAGCCCAGGTAACATAAGGCTCTGACAAAGTAGTTTCTACTAGAGGGCAGGCCTTTATCATGGAAAATGATCTGGGTGTATTTCAAAATAGTTACTTTCTCCTCCCCTGCCCTGCCCTATCTGAAACACAAAGGGATCCCTGATTTTAGTCATGAGAACCTGGTGGGTTCCTTAGGGTAAATTCTAGAAAGTGGGGGCTTCTCTAAGAGTAGGCACTCAGGGGTCTTTAACTGTCAAGCTAGTCCACACTCAGCCTCTGGGGATGTGTCAGATACCATTTCACTGTTCACATCAGTTACTGGCCGGAGCATATTCTGTTGCTGGAAAGTTGATCTCTACTGTGATTCTATTTAAAAGTCTCTCCAGGGTGTGGAGTGGTGGCTTGCTCTGGGACTTTAATTCTCTTGTGTATCTAGGAAAAGCCATTGATTTCCAGCCTGCCCAGGTGTTTTCTTGCTGTACAAATGAAGTGATGATTTCTAAGCTCTTTACATGTTGGCACTGAAACTGACAGCCATCCAGACTTTTTGAAACTCCCTTCCCATTTTCTCCATAAAGCTAGGCTGAAACGATCCTCTTCGAGGAGCCTCCCCTGATTTCCTCTGCTAAATGGAAAGCTCCCCTACGTGCACCCACTGCTGGGTACACTGCAAGTATTACATCTACTGGCTCTGGCTGTGGATGCCTGGAGGGCAGGCACTGTGGTTTATCCTTGCATTTCTGCATAGGGTGTAACTGGTTAACTGAAAGGAAAAAGGAAAAAGAACCACTGTTCACTAATTAAAAACAAAGTACTGCTTTTATTTGGCTCACTTCTCCATTTATTAGAATAACCACATTTGGAGAGGCACAAAGCACTTAAGTTTTACATGACTACAAAGTTATCACAAATCCCAAACTTTTTAGCCACAGATATTTCACTTACTCTGTTTAACAAAAAAGCTCTCAAAACTTCTGAGTTAGCTTGATACACAGAGACCCTGAATATATGGGAACTACATATTTTTCAATGCTTGTACTTCCTGCTCTAACAACGTCTTCTTTAAATGGAATCCAGCATAAAAGGGATGGAAATATATAAGGTCATGATGCAAATGCTATGGAGACAGTGAAATTAATCTGTACAACATGGAAAAGATGTAGTGTGCACAGAAGTTCTGCAAGGAGTCACTGAGCCATCTGGGCTTCCATGGCTTGTGCTGTCCATTCTGGTGCTGTCTGACTAATTTTCTCCAAAAGGTTATTCACTTGGAAACAAAGTGATTGGATCTGTTTATCCCATGTTGGCAGGGCTTCTCGTGCTAAAGAAAAAATAAATAAGGTAGAAAGTTGAAATTACTCCTTCATATTCACCGTAAATATGTTAAAAGATAAATACAGAAGTATTAATTTTTAAAAGTTTTCTCCAAAAATCTTGGCTAATAAAATTAAGCTAATAAGTAATAATTAAGAAAAGCACCTAAAGCACTGGCACAAAGTATAAAACAAAACAAAAAGACAGGCACATACAGATTATTCATGGAAACAAAATAAAACCAACCAACCCAATAACCTCCAACAGAACTACAGTAAGAAGGCAGCTTCACTGAAACCTGCTCATCACCAATGACTCATAAGACACTGCCATCTGCTGGAGAAGTAAATCCATTTACATATTCAAGGCTGTCTCAAATGGACTCTGAAGGATAAATATTTTATTATTGAAACCCAAAATAAACAAGCAAACAAAAAACAACTCATCAAGAATCCAGCAGGTTTTTCTCTATATAAGCAATATGCAGTTAGAAATGAAAAATTAGGGGGTAGGGGTCCCATTTAAAATAGCACAAAACTGTATCAAAAATGGGCACAGAATTAATGAAGAAAAAACTATAAATCTTCATAAAGAACATAAAATAACTATTTTATCAGTCCTTTCCTACTGATATGTAAATTTAAAGAAATTACTAAGGCAATCCCCTTTTTCTTTGCTTTCTTTATAATTTGGACAAAATTATAATTTTAAAAATAAAAAACAGTGGCAGGACTGTGATATATCTATACCATGGAGTCTTTATTCAGCCTTAAAAAGGGATGAGCTTTGCCCAGCCGCTGTGGCTCAGTGGTTGAGCGTCGAGACCCATGCACCCAGAGGTGGCTGTTCAATTCCCGGTCAGGGCACATGCCAATGGATTTCCTTTTGGGAAGATGAAAATGTTTTGGAACTAGGTAGAGATGGTGGTTACACAACATTGTGAACATACTAAGTGACCCTGAGTTGTTCACTTTAAAATGATTAATTTTATGTTCTTTGAATTTCATCTTGATTAAAAAAATAGTAGTGGCCCGACCAGTGTGGCTCAGTGGATTGAGCGTCATCCCTTGGACTGAGAGGTCCCAGTTTGATTGCCAGTCAAGGCACATGCCTGGGTTGCGGGCTTGATCCTCAGTTGGGGGCGTGCAGGAGGCAGCCGATTGATGTTTTTCTCAAACATCAATGTTTCTCTCTCTGTCCTCCTCCTCTATAAAAAAAATCAATAAAAACATATTTTAAAAAATAGTAGTACAGAGTTAAGAGTTGCTTTACCAATATTAAATTTACAAGAAAAAAAGAAAACAAAATAAAGGAATGCTGGAGAAAGTGAACAATGTGGTTTCAGATGGCTGGTTGGCTGGTGATGGGGGGGGGGGCAGGCAGAGAAGGGAGATAATGAATTCGGTTTGGGGTATGTTCATACTGAGATGCCCATGACGTAATCAGGTGAGAAATGCCTAGTAATCAATTAGAACCTCTGTGTCTGGGACTCAGAAGAGAGATTTACCTTACAAAAGTATATGTAAGTATTGTCTGCATAGAGATGACTGAATCAAAGGGAACAGATGAGATTGCCTAGGGAAACTTAGTAGAGTAAGGAGAAAAGGCCTAGAACTAAGCCCCAAGCAGCCCCAATATTTAAATTTAAAGGCACTATAAAATCTATAAAGATGACTAGGAAGAATACCTGGAGAAGTAGGAGAGAAAGCAGGTGAAGGAGATGACAGAGTCAAGATGATGGTGGTGGGGTGGAGATATCAAAAAGGAGTAAATGATCAACGCTATTTGATAAGTTGAAAAGTCAAGAAGAGGCCTGAGAGGTAAAAGGATTTTTGTTAAAATGGAAGAGACCTAAGTATGTTTAAAATTTATGGAAAGAAGCCAACAGAAGAAGAAAAGATGAAAACAGAAAAATAACTACTAAGCTCAGGTTCCTAAAAATATTGGGGAAGGGGGTTGTGGCAGAGGTCAGAGAAGAAATCCAAAGCACAAGTGGAAGAACTGGAGAGGGAGAAAGAAACCTCCTCCAGTATAACATGAAAAAAGAAAAAGACAGAATTAGATCCATATATTTAATAAGTTATATTTGCAAGTTTATAAATCATATGAATCTGATAAAGAAGTTAATTTCACACTGATAGCTTTTTTTTTCTGTGTAAAAATAGGAGAAAAATCAGAGATCTAAGAAAAATGAAATCTGAAATAATCATTGCAGAGTAGGAAAGAATAGACTAAAGAAATATATCAAGAATCCAGCTAGTGTTGGGACCCATGACCTTGAATTTGCAGTGGTGTTCAATCTGTCTGGTGCTCTGACTCTTCTCCAACATTAGCTAGCTATTCCAGTATAGGCATGGGTAAGAAAGATGGAGAATGGGTTCATTCAAGGTGAAGTTTTGCTGGATAGCTAGAACAAAAAAGCTAACAGACAAGTGTTCTGGGGCATCTGTAAAACAGTAATGAAATAATGAGTCCTGGAATTCAAGCTGGATAGGAAGAGCATTAAAGAGAGAAATGGGCTGGGCTGACTGTTAAAGGTATGAGTCAACAGATGAGAGGTTTCAATGCAGTCAATGAAGAGTTGAAATGGAAGTAACTGAAACAGACCACAAAAAAACAGGGATATTTCAAACTAAAAGTTCACAAGTGGAATGGTTGTGGGTACAGCAAAGTCACAGTGTAAATGAGTTAGGAACAGGGGCTGAGGAGATACTAGACAATGAAATCTACTTACCTGCCTGCCTCCCTTACTCTAATGAATGGGAAATGCAGCGGTCATCTCCACATGCCCATTACATGGTATGTGTTCAATACATGTTTGATGAGTAAATGAACGAACTGATGATAGTTTCAGTTTCAAAATTTTCCACAATATAGAAAATGCTGCATTAAGTAGATCTATGACTATAAGTCACAAAAACAATACTTTTCAAAATTACTTCTTTGCGAAATACGCCTATTCCAATAGTAAGATTCTAGGTCAAAGGAAATTGTTCAACATGTTTTAATCCTAGGTATACAACACCTCACTAACATTTCACTATCACAAAAACAAGCAAAACTTACTTTCAAAATGAACTATTCCATCAATCTGATCAATAAATCCATTCATACGTCCTTCTGTTATCATTTGTGATGCTATCTTTTCTGCCTGTTTAAATTAAAAAAATAAATTCTCAGACACTCTATATATCATATCTAACATTCACATATAAGACAAGTGAAAGTTCTTGATTTAGCTACTCATCAATCACTAAGCTTACAAATATGTTTACCTGCCATTCATTACAAGAGTAAATCTTATAAATCTTCCTATTATATTGCCCCAATTCTTTCTGGGTACAATCCATTATTTTAAGTTAATTAGGATCTATTTTGCTTGTGAGATTTTGGACAAGAAGATTTTGTCTTTGGATAAGAATTTTTATCTCTGCTGCCTGGACAATGTGGCTCAGTGGTTGAGCACCAACCCAAGTGCCAAGAGGTTGCCAGTTCAATTCCTAGTCAGGGCACATGCCCAGGTTGTGGGCCAAATCCCCAGTGTGGGGCATGCAGGAGTCAGCCAATTGATGTTCTCTCTCATCGACGTTTTTATCATTCCCTCCCTTTCCCTTCCTCTCTCTCTAAAAAAATCAATAAAAACATATATATTTTTTTATTCCTCACCCGAGGTTATTTTTACATTTATCTTCAAACAGAGTGGGAGGGACAAAGAGCTAGAGAAACATCAATGTGAGAGAGATACATCGATTGGCAGCCACCCACAAGACCCCAGCTGGGGCTGGGGACAAACTGCAACCAAGGTACATGCTCTTGGCCAGAATCAAACCCAGGACTCCCTGGTCCGCAGGCCGACGCTCTAACCACTTAGCAACCCGGCCAGGGCAACATATATATTTTTTTAATTGTGTTAAACATAAAAGGGGATGTGATTCATAAGTACATGACTTTAAGTTTTCCAAGTTAGATAAAAGTAAGGTTAATTGCTTGCTTTTACTATTATTTAAAATTAGGAGAATGTTTTGTAAATGATACCCGAAATACGCTCTATATAGTATTGGCAGTTTGCTGGGATTTATATACTGTCACTAAACCTTTATTATGACAAAGAATGAAATTAATTCCCTAATAACTCAGTCAACTTCTTAAGTTAAATCAAGCACAGAAATTACAATAGAATAGCCTGGCATATTACCATAGTCATTCTCTCAAAGAAAAGAAATATTTACCCTTTGAGTCAATTTAGGGCAGAAAATAGAAGTAATAAAGCATCTACAGAAATCTTAAGTTAGTCAGAAATCAGAAACAACTATGAAATGGATTTAAACACTCTAGGCAAAGATATTCTCACAAACTGGGTATCATAATCCGGAAAATCCTTTAAGATTTCCATTCTAGATCACTTTATCATAAAATACAAACAAAAAAAAACACAAAGACAGTTCCATTACAGTACTATTTTAACACTGAAATAATTTATTTCCATTTAGCAAAGGCTTTTTATGTTTATTTTTATTGCAGTTACCAATATTTATCAATTATATATTTTGTTTTCTCATTACATCAATAATTTAGTCTCTTAACTTCCTTTTTATATATTGGAAACAAGAAAATACCTTAGCTGCAGGAATCTCTAAAAGAGCTCCAAGTTCTTCAAAGGTAATATTATTATATAATTTGCTTGCAGACAACAAATTGTGTTCAATAACAGCTCTGTCCAAGATGCTAGAACCTTAAATAAATATAAGTAGGGCAGTTATGTTTGAAACTGGTTTTATACTCCTAAAAGATTAATCCCTTTTTTTCCGAAAATTTCTAAGCATATAATAACTCATAATTATTGTCTTTATTCCCAACAAAATGTTAAAAGTAACCCAAATGCCTTATTTGATACAGCTTGAAGATACAATTAAATAAAAATAATATATTTAGAAAATAAGTGATTGTCAAGTAATTACTAACCAGCTGAATGAATTTAACCCTTTGGGTTTGAGGGTTTGCTTCCTTAGGCTAGCTAGCAGATTCGGAACTTTTCGTGCTGTAAGCTAGCTAACTATTATTAGCAAGCAGTAGCAAAACAATCATGCAACCCGTTCTGCAAGCTTAATAATGTCAATACATACAGCTCAATAGAAACATCTCTACTCCTTTGGGTACTCCGTAAGCACCTTATTCTGAGGCAAATGTGAAAAGTGTCCAGAATGTAGGAACAAGCTAACCCTTTATGAGAGCAAAGGCAGAGCATCCTCTCTTAAATGATGAAGTTCTGGACCTAAGGCCCCACCATGAGGTGTTATTAGAGTGCTGGGCTCACACAATTCTTTTTCCTTTCTTTCCAGTTTTATTAAGATATAACTGACATAAAACATTGTATTAGCTTAAGGTTTACAACATTATAAGTTGATATGTGTATATTTTGCAAAATAATTACCACAATAAGTTTTGATAAGATCCATCACCTCACATAGTTACAATTTTTTTCTTCTGATGAGAACTTTTTAAATCTATTCTCTTAGCAACTTCTAAATATAAAGACCTAAATAAATGGGAAAATATGAAAGACTTAATATTGTTAAGATAGCTATACTCCCCAAACTGATATGTAGTCATTGTAATCCCTATCAAAATCCCACCTGACATTTTTGCAAAAATTGACACGCTGACCTTAAAATTCACATGGAAATTCAAGGGCTCAAGCAGAGCCAAAACAATCCTCAAAAAGAACAAAGTTGGAGGACTCACACTTCCTGATTGTTTTTTTATCCTCACTCGAGGACACTTTTCGATATTTTGTTCAGATAGAGTGGTAGGGGGAGAGAGAGAGAGAAACATCGATGTGAAAGCGACACATCGAGTGGTTGTTACTCGCACAACCCAACCAGGGCTGCGGACAAACTGCAACCAAGGTACATGCCCTTAGCAGGAACTGAACCCGGGTCTCTCTGGACCGCAGGCCAATGCTCTAACCGCTGAGCCAAAGTGGCCAGGGCTCACACTTCCTGATTTAAAACTTACTACAAAGATACAGTATCCAAGACAGTGTGGTAATGGCATGAACACAGGTATATAAAATAGAGGAATAGAATTTAGAGTCCAGAAATAAACTCTCACATTTAGAGTCAATTGATTGTCAACAAGTATGCTAGGACAGACAATTCAATGTGAAAATAATAGTCTTTTCAACAAATGGTGCTGCAACAACTGGATATCCATATAAAGTAAAACCCCTACCCTACACCATATACAAAAATTAACTCAGAATGAATCAAAGACCTAAATGTAAGAAGTACAATTACAGAACTTATTGAAGAAAACAGAGAAATCTTTATGATCTTGGGTTAGGTAATGGTTTCTTAGATACAGCACTGAAAGCACAAGCAACAGAAGGAAAAAACAAATAAACTGGACTTCGAAATTGAAAAACTTTTGTATTTCAAAAGATACTATCAAAAAAATGAAGAACCCTGGCCAGTTTGGCTCAGCAGTTAGAGTGTTGGCCTGCGGTCCAGAGAGACCCAGGTTCGGTTCCCGCTAAGGTCATGTATCTCGGTTGCAGTTTGTCCCTGGCCCCGGTTGGGTCGTGAGGGTGGCAGCCACTCGATGTGTACCTTTCACGTCGATGTTTCTCTCTCTCTGTCCCTCTCTCTCTCCCCCACTCTATCTGAACAAAAAAATGAAAGAAAAAAAAGTGTCCTCAGGTGAGGATAAAAAAAAAAAAATGAAGAAAGAACACATAGAATGAGAATTGCAAATCATTTATCTGATAATGATCAGATCTAGACTATATAAGGATTCTTATAATTCAGTAATAAAAGGATAAATAACCCAATTTATAAATAGGCAAATGATATGAACAGACATTTCTCTGAAGGTATACAAATGGCTTCCTGGCTGGAGTGGCTCAGTGGGTTGAGTGTTGTCCTGAGAACCAAAAGGTTGCCTGTTCCATTCCTGGTGAGGGCACATACCTGGTTGCAGGTTTGGTCCTTGATTAGAAAGCATATGGAAGGCAACCAATCAATGTTCCTGCCTTGGGTGAGGATTAAAAAAAATTAATTAATTAAATAAAAGTAAAAAAGAGGTGATGGGCACACAATGCAATATACAAATAATGCATTGTAATACCATACACTTGAAACTATATAATCTTATTAACCAATGTCACCCCAATAAATTTAATTTTTAAAAAACTAAAAGTAAAATAAGAGAAGTAACAATCAAAACACATACACACTCTGTACAGGTGGACTACAGATTTATTTGTAAGCTTTCTAGCAGCCAATCAAATTAAGAAAGCCAATCAATTTATCAACTCAATGTCTTTACTTTATTTATTGATCTATTTCTTTTTTTAATCCTCACCCAAGGATATTTCTTAGAGTGGAAAGGAGGGAAGGAGAGGAAAAGAGGGAGAGAGAGATAAAGAAACATCGGCCCGCAGACCAGAGAGACCCGGGTTCGGTTTCCGCTAAGGGAACATACCTCGGTTGCAGTTTGTCCCCAGCCCCGGATGGGGTCATGTGGGTGGCAGCCAGTGGATGTCTCTCTCTCTCTCTTCCTCTCTCTCTCTCTTCCTCCCTCTCTCCCTCCCACTCTATCTGAAGGTAAATGCAAAAAATGTCCTTGGGTGAGGACAGAAAAAAAAGAAACATCAATGTGAGACACATGGACTAGTTGCCTCCCACACTCAACCCAAACCCAACAGGGACCAGGTATTCAACCTGCAACCTAGGTATGTGTCCTTGACCAGGAATTGAATGCTTTGGCTCTTCAGCTGATGCTCTAACCATTGACCCACACTGGTGTCTTTAATAAGACAAAAACCAACTGCTAAGGAGAATCACAACTAATCCTAAAACTAAAATGCAATTTTTCCTCAGGATGTGCATAAAAGATATCTATAAAAAAAATCTCCTGTACACAGAAAGATAAGAATCAACTGGTTGCTCTGGCTGGTTTGGCTCATAAGTTAGAGCATTGGCCCTCAGACTGAAGGGTCTCAGGTTCAATTCCAGGTCAAGGGCACGTACCTGGGGTTGTAGGTTTGATCCCCAGCTCTGGTCGACGTTGTGTGGGAGGCAACCAACTGATATGATGTGTCTCTCATATCAATGTCTCTATTTCTCTTTCTCTCTCCTCCCTTCCACTCTATCTAAAAATCAATGGAAAAATATCCTCAGGTGAGCATTAACCAATAAATAAATAAATGAATACATAATTTTTAATTTAAAAAAATCAACTGGTTTCCTTTTTAAAGTGTAATTAAATGAAAGAAACTCAATAGATCAATCTAATCCCTTAATTGATCTGGTTTAACTCAGGGAAGTAAGACTGGGTTAAATGAACACTTTTCAGCAAATCCTACATAAATGACTGTTTTTTTGTTGTTGTTAATCCTTACCCAAGGATATTTTTTCCATTGATTTTTACAGAGTCGAAGGGAAGGAGGTGCGGGGACAGAGAGAGAAACATTGTCAATGCGAGAGAGACACATCAATTGGTTGCCTCCCACACACACCCTGACTGGGACCAGGGATCAAATCTGCAACCAAGGTATGTGCTTTGATCAGAAATCAAATCTGAGACCCTTCAGTGCACGAGCCGATGCTCTAACCACTAAGCCATATGGGTCAGGGCTAAATGACTTTTTTTTCATGCTCTCTTAACAGTCTTCATTATTATCATTTTTTAAAAACAATTTTTCTTTATTGATTTTACAGAGAAAGGAAGGGGAAGGGAAAGAGACAGAAACATTGATGAGCGAGAACAGTGACTGGCCACCTCCTGTATGCCCCCCACTGGGGATTTGGCCCACAGCCTGGGCATGTACCCTGACCGGGAATCGAACCAGAGACCTCTTGATGCATGGGTCAACACTCAACCATTGAGCCACACCAGCTGGGCATTATTATCATTTTTTAAATATGCTTTTATTTATTTTTTTTAGAGAGGAAGGGAGAGAGAGAAATATGGATAAGTTTTTCTGCACAACCCCCACTGGGGATCAAGCCTGCAACCCAGGCATGTGCCCTGACCAGGATTCGAACCGGAACCTCTCAGTTCATGGGACGACATTCACTGAGCCACACCGGCTGGGCCTAACTGACTCTTAAAAACAAATAGTAATAAAGTAGCAAATTGTTTTATTGATTGATTGATTTGATTTTTTTATCCTCACCCGAGGACATTTTTGCATTTATCTTCAGAGAGAAAGGGAGGGAGAGAGAGAGGAAGAGAGAGAGAGAAACATCGACATGAGATAGACATACTGAGTGGTTGCCACCCACATGACCCCAACCGGGGCCAGGGACAAACTGCAACTGAGGTACATGCCCTTAGCGGAAACCGAACCTGGGACTCTGGTACGCGGGCTGACGTTCTAACCGCTGAACCAAACTGGCCAGGGCTGATTGATTGATTTTAGAGAGAAAGAAAAAGGAGGAGGGGATTGGGGTGAGGAGGGTGCAAAGAGGGAGAGAAAGAGAAAAAAAAGTCAACTTGGCCCTGGCCGGTTTGGCTCAGCGGTTGGAGCGTCGGCCTGCGGTACAGAGAGACCCGGGTTCGGTTCCCGCTAAGGACACGTACCTCGGTTGCAGTTTGTCCCCGGCCCTGGTTGGTCATGTGGGTGGCAGCCACTCGATGTGTCCCTTAACATTGATGTTTCTCTCTCTCTCTCTCTCTCTCTTCCTCCCTCTCCCTCCCGCTCTATCTGAACAAAAAATGGAAAAAATGTCCTCGGGTGAGGATAAAAAAAAAAAAAAGTCAATTTGTTGTTTCACTTATTTATGTATTCATTGGTTGCTTCTTGTATGTGCCCTGAGCAGAAATCCGAACCCCAAACCCTGGTGCATCAGGAAGACACTCTAACCAACTGAGATATCTGGCCAGGGCTCATAAATGACTCTTTACAATACAGCTAAATTCTCTTCAATAGGATGACAGTAAATCCAAAGTAGTGATCTACATGTTTATTTTTACCTTTTTCACATTTCTGATGGTCTACATCAACATTTTTATCATGTGTGTTATTGTTATAAGCTACTTTAAAACCTGTAAAATAACTAATGTTATAAAAAAGCATCTATTAAAAATGTCTTTCCGGGCAAAGGCAGTCTGACTTAAGCAAATACATCCCTTAACTAGGAAATATGACACCAAGTTCTATTCTTATTGACAACAATTTCACCCAGAATAACCTTGGGCAAGCTACTGTGCCAAATTTTGTTATAACTAAAATTAGACTCAATAATTATTAAACAAACTAATGGTTAAGATTAATTTAGGCCTGGCCGGTGTGGCTCAATGGTTGGACCCAGCGTCAGGAGGTTGCCTCTGGTTCAATTCTGGGTCAGGGCACATGTCCAGGTTGTGGGCTCAATCCTCAGTAGGGGAGTTGTGCAAGAGGCAGCCAACTGATGTTTCTCTCTCATTGATGTTTTTATCTTTCTCTCCCACTCCCTTCCTCTCTCTGAAATCAATTATTTATACATATACATATATATGTGTGTATGTGTTATTTTTTTAATCAAGTGTTATATGGAAATGTTATGGGAAGATATCAAGATGCTTCAAATTTAACATATTTTCCACTAGTGTGTACCTAAATATTCACTACCACATACTTATAAGACATGATCATTACCATCAGCTGTAGTTGCTTTTTGGTGAGGCATCAGCATAGCAGCAAATTCTTGAAGTTGATTTCCTCTGATGATCCTATCCAGGTACATTTTCTCTAGGATTCCATAAGCAGCAAGCTGCTGGCACCTTTCATCCTTAAAAAGAGTAGCTAGCATTCGAGAACGTTGTTGTCCTAAGGAAAACAAATGAGCATCAAATATTCTCACAATCTATTTCATTGATGAAAAACAATTCTTATGACCCTACTTTTGCCTACTAAAATATTCAGTCAATTGTCATTATTTGTGGTAGTTATGTTTTACAAAGTTGCTGCCAACACTAAATTAGCAAATACTCAATTGCTGTTCCTAGGGGAAGTACAGGGTTAGGTTCCTATAAGCCTCTGGTCACATTTTTTTCAGCTAATCAATATGTAACTTTTGTTTTACGTGTGTTTCTGTTCAAAGGCATCTTATTTAATATGTGTAGTTGATTCATTAACATTGAACTCATGGCCTACACTGTAACTCATGCCTGAATGAAGCTTATCTAATACACGTATTTTCTCTAACAGGCAGACTTCTTTCACTTAAGAACACAAGACAGTACTTCAGCACTATGCCTAGGGCCCACTTTAAACACCAAAATCACATCAAAAAGCACAAAAATGTGAAAAACATAACATTACCTCACCACAAAAAGGAATTTGTTTACAGTATGAGAGGGGAAACAAGGAAGCAGAGCACTGCATTATTCAACCCCAGCTAGAAACATACATTAGGTGGACTCAAATCTGTTGCTGTCCTGACATATTCACAAACAACCAAAAACACCACGAGTATCGATTTTGGAGTGACAAATAAATTTTAGCAAGTAGTCAAATTCACAAATATTGAATGAGAAAAATAGTATATTCATTTGTGAAGATAAATGGAAAAATATCCTCAGGTGAGGATTAAAAAAATAAGAAACTAGGGATCCTTGAAAAATAGCTGATTTTAAGTCTGGGGCAGGAAAAATACAAGATAAGTCTAAGACATCTTTTTATGCTACAGTGCTGGCAAGTATTCAAAATTAATGGGGCCATGGCAAAAAGACATGATTTGGTCATATTTGGCATAATCTGAGCATCAAAAAGAACAATAACTATGATAATAACACAGTGAATAAATAAAAAAGTCAAATATATAAAAATGTTCAAAGCAGTACTATTCCTAATAGCCAATAAGAAACTACCCAAAGACAATAGGATAAAAAATGCTGCAGTGCATTCACACAATGGAATACCACACAACAATGAAAATAAAGAAATTATAACTATACGTAACAATATGGACAAATATGGAAAGTTATAAAACTTTCATAAAGTTAAGCAAAAAAAGAAAAATGAATATATATACTATATGATTCATTTATATACGAAGCAGGTAGCCCTGGCCAGTTTGGCTCAGCGGTTAGAGCGTCGGCCTGCGGTCCGGAGAGACCCGGGTTCGGTTCCCACTAAGGGCATGTACCTCGGTTGCAGTTTGTCCCCGGCCCTGGTTGGTCGTGCGGGTGGCAGCCACTCGATGTGTCCCTTTCACATCGATGTTTCTCTCTCTCTCTCTCTCTCTCTCTTCCTCTCTCTCCCTCCCACTCTATCTGTACAAAAAATGGGAAAAAAAATGTCCTCAGGTGAGGATGAAAAAAAAAAAGAAGCAGGTAAAGCTAATATATACTAATGGTTACTCATGGGGGGGTTGGGGTGGGGCTAACAGCCAGGAGAAAACATGACAGGCTTGCAGGATGCTGATAGTATTGTGTTTCTTGTTCTGGATGCTGATTACATGAGGGTGTTCATTTGGGACAATTCATCAGGCTGTACACTTTTGATATGTGCACTTTTCTGTGTTTATATTATACACACAAAAAATAAGCAGAAAAAAAGTCCATAGTGATATTAAAAAAAAAGGAAAGCTCTTACATAGTAGTAGCTAATAAATGCAGAACAGAATTAGTAAATTGCCATTTTCATTTTCACTTTATGTTATATAATATAATGAATGGTCCAGGCAAGAATTAATAAATAATAAATTATCAAAAGGTATATGTGAAAGGAAGTTAGGAAACAAAATTTTTGTAGTGTCAAAGCAGCATCCCAGAAATGTTTTTATCCTCACCCGAGGACATTTTTGCATTTACCTTCAGATAGAGAGGAAGAGAGAGAAGGAGGAAGAGAAACAGAGAAACATCAATGTGAGAGAGACAAATCAACTGGTTGCCACTCACACGACCCCAACAGGGACCGGAGACAAACTGCAACCAATGTACGTGCTCTTAGCAGGAACCGAACCCGGGACAAAATAGCAATGAATACATATCTATCGACAATTGAATCTACAAACAAAATGAACAAGCAGAACAGATACAGAGAACACTTTGTTGGTTGCCAGGTGTGAGGGGGGTTGGGGGAATGGGTGAAAAAGGTGAAAGGATTAAGAAGCACAAATTGGTTGCTAGACTGACAGACCTCAAAGGGAAGGGGAGGTTGAAGGTGGGAAGAAATAAACCAAAGAACATATATGCATATATGTAAAACCAATGGACACCGACAACAGTGTGGGGAAAGGCAGGAGGGGGGCAGGAGCGGGGAGGAAGGGGTCAATGGGGGGGGGGGAAATGAGGAACATCTGTAATACATTTAACAATAAAGATAAAAATAAATAAATAAATAAAAATAAAAAATAAAATGTCCTTGCAGCTAAAAAGAAAAAAAATTAGCCCTGGCTGATCTGGCTCAGCGGTTAGAACATCGGCCTGCAGACCAATGAGTTGCGGGTTCAATTCCGGTCAAGGGCACATACCTCGGTTGCAATTTGTCCCTGGCCCTGGTTGGGGTCATGCAGGAGGCAGCCACTTGAAGTGTCCCTTTCACATCAATGTTCTTCTCTCTCTCCCTCCCACTCTATCTGAACGAAAAATGGGAAAATGTCCTCAGGTGAGGATGGATAGATAGATAGATAGATAGATAGATAGATAGATAGATAGATGGATAGATAGATAAATAAATAAATAAATTAATAAAATGTCCTTGCCCTGGCCGGTTTGGCTCAGCGGTTAAAGCATCGACCTGCGGTCCTGAGAGACACGGGTTCGGTTCCGCTAAGGGCGCGTACCTCGGTTGCAGTTTGTCCCCAGCTCTGGTCAGTCGTGCGGGTGGCAGCCACTCGATGTGTTCCTTTCACATTGATGTTTCTCTCTCTCTCTCTCTCTTCCTCTCTCTCCCTCCCACTCTACCTGAACAAAAAAAAATGGAAAAATGTCCTCGGGTGAGGATTAAAAAAAAAAAAAAAAAAAAATGTCCTTGTAGCCCTGGCTGGTGTGGCTCAGTAGCTGAGTGTCAACCCGTGCGGCAAGAAGTACCCGGTTCGATTCTCAGTCGGGGCACATGCCCAGGTTGTGGGCCAAATCCCCAGTGGGGGGGTGCAGGAGGAGGCCAATTGATGTTCTCTCTCATCGATGTTTCTATCTCACTCTCTCCTTTCCTCTCTCTCTAAAAGCAATAAATACATTACTCCTTGCAGCAGTAAAAAATTATTTAAAAATTTTGATACTTGAAAACACATCTTCTTAAATATTTTGTGTAATGAAATGGAAAATGCACATAAAGCACTTCTGCTGCAAACAGAAGTACAATGGTTGTCCCCAGGAAATACTGCAAGCTGAACTAGTCTTTTTTCATGGAACACTATCTACATAAAATAATGACTGACAAGATACGGTTTTTCAGACTTGGGTGTTTGGCAGACATTTTCTTTTTTTTTGTTAATCTTCACCCAGGGATGTTTTTCCATTGATTTTTTTTTTTTTTTTTTGATAGAGTGGAAGGGAGAAAGGGAGGGAGAAAGAGAAACATCACTGTGAGAGAGACACATCAATTGACTGCCTCCTGAATGACCCCAACCAGGGCAGGGAATTGAACCTGCAACCCAGGTAGATATGTGCCCTTGACCAGGAATCGTACCAGAGACCCTTCAGTCTGCAGGCCAATTCTCTAACCATTGAGCAAAACTGGCCAGGGCTTGGCAGACATTTTCTTAAAATTGAACAAAGTGGCCTTGGCCAGTGTAGCTCAGTTGGTAACACTGGAAGAAAACATGTAAAAAGAAAATATGTAAATTTCAGAATAGGAAAGCCCTTTCCAAGCAAGTCAAGAAAATTCAGAGACCATAAAAACTTAAAGTTGCTGTAAGGCAACTTTGTTTCATAAACAAAGCCAAGTACAGGAAAAACAAATTGGGAAGAAAATTTGTTAAATTTCTTATATAAATGAAGAGTTTTTATAAGTCACCAAGAAAAGGATAAAAACTCCAAAAATGGCTGAGAGACAATCAGTTAATTCACTTAAAAAGTGTTTTATCAACAATGATTTTTTTTTTAACATGAAATGATGCTTGAAAGCATTCGTTGTAAATGAAATGCAAATTAAAACCAGCATACTATCTTTCATCTACCATATTAGCAAGGATAAAACATTTTATAATACATGTGTGAGGAATCAGGTACACATGAACATTGTTGTTTGAAGTGTAACATTAAAGGACAATGTATAATTTCTATCAAAGATTAAATAATTAAATGTATATACCCTTAGAATCAAGAATTTAACCTATACATTTACTCATATATGTGCATAATCACGATAACCCTATTTGTAATTGACTAAATTATGAAAATCCAAACAATAGAAAATCAAAAAGAATGAGCTTTATGTATTGACATATAAACACCACAATGATATATAACTACATAAACAAGCAAGTTGCTAAAGTGTGTATAACATGCTAGCATTTGTGTATAAAAAAAGAAGATACACACACAACACACTTTTATATTGAACGAAATACAACAAAGTAATAATAGTTCCTTAGAAAGGATGTAGTACTGTTTTATATACTGCCTTTTCAGTAACAAAAACAAAATAAAATAAGATTACTGTTTCATAAAGAATGAAATGTGGGCCCTGGCTAGGCATCTCAGTTGGCTAGAGCATCTTCCCATTACGCCAGATTGAGGGCTCCATCTCTAGTCAGGGCACATGCAAGAAGCAACCAATGAATGCAAAAATAAGTGGAACAACAGCCCTCGCTGGTCTTTCTCAGTGGTTAGAGAGTCAGCCTGAGGACCAATAAATGAGTCGTGGGTTCGACTCTGGTCAAGGGCATGTACCTCTGCTGCAGTTCATATCCGGCCCTGGTTGGGGTTGTGTAAGAGGCAGCCAGTCTCTGGTTTTTAATTTTTGTCTCCCTCTGTGTAATTCTCACTTAATTTTATATCAATTTTTTTCAGTGATTTATTTATTTATTTATCCTCACCTGAGGACATTTTTCCATTTTTTGTTCAGATAGAGCGGGAGGGAGAGAGAGGAAGAGAGAGAAACATTGATGCGAAAGAGACACATCGAATGGCCGCCACCCACACGACCCAACCAGGGACGGGGACAAACTGCAACCAAGGTACACGCCTTGGACAGCAGGCCAATGCTCTAACCACTGAGCAAAACCGGCCAGAGCTTTTTCAGTGATTTTTTAGGAGAATGAAATTTCATATTATCTTGTTTTAACTATTCCTATAACATATGGGTATTAATCTAATACATGCATAATTAAAAAATTTTTAAGTTAACAACTCACTTTATCACTTCTAAGTGTTCAAACTAAATATACCAGCCCTAGCGTCAGCCCATGGACCAAAGGGTCTTGGGTTCGATTCCTAGTCAAGGGCACATACCTGGGTTGCAGGTGTGATCCCCAGCCCTAGTCAGGGTCGCACGGGAGGCAGCCAATCGATGTGTCTCTCTCACATCAATGTCTCTCTCTGTCCCCCTCCCTCCTTTCCACTCTATCTAAAATTTAAAAAAAAAAAAAAAATCAATGGAAAAATATCCTCAGGAGAGGATCAACAAAAACTAATTAATTAATTAAACATACCATAATTGTATTAATAAGACATCCCCTTGCTAAATCCTCTAGTAGTAATGAACCTAAAATATTGAGCAAAGTGACTGTTCATTAAAGCATAAATGACATGTTTACCTGCCGATGCTAAGATGGTACAGTGCAAAGCATGTTTTAAGGCCTCTAGTCTTTCACTTTCGTGCACTATTGTCTTGTAAGAGAGCTCATTGTACCTTTGTGCAGCTTCAATGAATTTTCTTCTGTAATCAAGAACACGTGCATAGCATACCTATAGGAGGGAAAAGGTTTCAATTAGGGGGAAATTTTTTAATGCAAAAGCAAAAAATAAAAAAGAGAATTTCTAATATATACAATAGCATTTATGATGTTCTGAAGTATCTTAGTATAAAAGGATTCTCCAATACAAAATTAATTCCAAATCAGCTCATCTGTTTACCTTATAATGTATCTGTAACTGTTCGTTGGTTGATTCATTCTGAAGCAATGACGCTCGATTTATATAAGCCTCTGCCTGAACTGGATCATCATCCTCTAGATATAGCCTAGCAATCTTCAGGTATGTCTCCAGTTTATAATCCACATTGTACTGTCTAGGATATAATAGAAAAGCACAGAATGACTATTTTATCAAAAAAATTATTAGGGATGGCAGGAAATGTTACTTTTTTCCTTATATATATTGTGTTAATATGATGTAATCAACCTTTTTACTGCATTATATTATCAAAAAGCTAAGAAATATTTCCAAAATAAATTTTATTGAATTAGTATTACTTTTATTATCATTGTTCAAATTACATTTTAGCTTCTTCTAATTCTCAGATAATCTCACAAGTTAAAGATCTTAAAAGAAAAATTGCCCAATTCAGGGATTTATCATAAACTATAGGTGGGACTATAAGTACAACCATGTTGGGAAAAAAAATTGGCAATTATGTTCTCCAACCATCCTTTGAATCCTTTAAATTGCATATACTCTTTACCCACTATACAGGGTGAGGCAAAAGCAGGTTTACAGTTGTTGGCATGGAAAAATAATAAGTAATAACACAAGAATAAACAGTGTTTTGCATACTCACAACTGTAAACCTACTTTTGCCCACCCTGTATTCTACCTCTAGAAAATGAATCCCAAGAAAATAATCAATGGACCTGCATATGTATGTTTGTACAAAGATATTAACTTATAAAATTATCTTTAAATATCTATAATAGGAAAGAAATGGAAATCACTGATTCTATTTATGGTATTCAATTGAGTATGTAACAATAGTAGATTACTACACATTTATTATAATAATTACTATGTGATAATAGTCATGTACTTTAGCTAAGTAAAAACACTGGATAAAACAGTATGTAAAACACCATGAAAATGTATTTCTAGCCCTGACCAGTTTGGCTCAGCGGTTAGAGTGTCGGCCTGCGGTCCAGAAAGCCCTGGGGTTCGGTTCCTGCTAAGAGCACGTACCTCAGTTGCAGTTTGTTTCCAGCCCTGGTTGGGTGGTGCGGGTGGCAACCACTGGATGTGTCCCTTTCATGTCGATGTTTCTCTTTCTCTCTCTCCCCCTCCCACTCTATCTGAACAAAAAATGGAAAAATGTCCTCGGGTGAGGATTTGAAAAAAAAAAAAAAGAAAGAAAGAAAATGTAGTTCTACACATATACATCAAATTAATGATAGCAATTTTCTCTGAGTGGTGAGATTACAAGTAGTTTTCCTTTCTTCTCTATCCCAGTGGTCACATTTTATGCAAGAAATGCATAACTAAAGACCCTATATAGCCCTGGCCGGTTTGGCTCAGCGGTTGGAGCGTCGGCCTGCGGTACAGAGAGACCCGGGTTCGGTTCCCGCTAAGGGCACGTACCTCGGTTGCAGTTTGTCCCCAGCCCTGGTTGGTCATGCGGGTGGCAGCCACTCGATGGGTCCCTTTCACATCGATGTTTCTCTCTCTCTCTTCCTCTCTCTCCCTCCCGCCCTCCCGCTCTATCTGAACAAAAAATGGAAAAATGTCCTCAGGTGAGGATAAAAAAAAAAAAAAAGACCCTATATAATCCAAAAATCACATAATCCAATATTAATCCTCACAGAAAATTAATCCTATTTACCAGAAAACCTGGTGCCACCATGTGGCAATAATAGAGTTTACAACTGATTTGGCCCAGATTTAAAATGAATTCTTTACTTAATAAATTTTATACTAATTCAAAATTTTTTCATGTCACATATTAGTATTTTACACTGTATAATTTCCATTCACAACTCAAGTTTACATAAACTAATATACACAGCACCATACCTTTTTGAATTTTTCAATTTTATGCCAGTTTATCTATTATGCCAGTGTATCTATTACTTTCAAAATAAAAATGAATCTTTTTTTTTCTTTATTAATTTTTAGAGGAAGAGAGAGAAACATAGATGAGCGAGAACATCGATTGGCCGCCTCCTGCATGCCCCGCACTGGGGTTTTGGCCCACAACCGGGGCATGTGCTCTGACTAGGCATCGAACAAGCAACCTCTTGGTGCATGGGTCAACGCTCAAGCACCAAGCCACACCGGAAGGCAAAAATTAATAATTTTTTAAAGAAAAAAGTTCTTAATCACTTATCCAAATTCAACTTTTAATCACTTTTACTTTAACTTATTTAGAAAACAACTAAATTTTCATTTCTTTGGTATCCTCACAATGTTACTGTACTATCAAAATGATAATTACCACCACTGCAAAGAACAATAACTAATTTTATATTTATATCGACTACCAGTGAAAATAAATCAACTGCTCTATGTGAAAGAGAAAATGTTCCAGACAAAATAAGACCAAAGCAATTAAGAAAGCCCTATCCTTTCAAACTATCAAAGAAAAAAAGAATTTAACAAGAGGCCTTAGAAAGCAAAATTCAGCATCTACATATGAAAGCCCTTTCATATACTGGCTGCTTTTACAAAGAGTATTACTGCCTAACAATTTCATAAATGCACAGAAGGCAATATGCCTGAAGTAGTATCTGCCTTATCATCTCAAATATTAATGAAGACAAAAATAAAGAATCCCTTATTCACCTGGTGAAAGAGTAGAGAAAAAGCTGAAAATATTTCTAAGTCATCCACAATTGGTATTTTTATACTTGCCAACTGAAAGGGGAAATGTGTTTAATAATACAACCGAGAGTCTCACACCTTTCATCCTTCTTGTACAATATACTTTGGATGAATATTTCATAAAGAACTATAAATGTTTTTTAAAAATACACATCAAAAGGCAAGACTGGTTAAATAAGAGTTATAAACTGTCACCTTAGTTTTTTCTAATTGTTTTTCCATCTCTAATATATTTCTCTATTATCCCAAACCCAACCCACTGAACCCATTGTGATCTTCAAACCCCTGATCTTATTACATTGTTCCAGTCTTCTTCCCCTTAAAGACCCCATTTACTTCTTTACCTAGCTTAACTCTTTTGGTCAGTGGTAATCATTGAATTGCACATGTACTGTCTCTCTCATGCTGTCTTACTTGTTGGACAAACCTAACAGTTCACCTACTCTTTTCCTGCAACCATGAAGCAGAACTCTGATGGAGAAAAATATTTAGTCAATCTGACTGATCTCATTTTAATCACTACAGCCTTCAAATGAAGCCTTAATGCTGCCAAGTACACTATACATTCTTAGTCCATTCACTGTCCCATTCTCCTAGAGAATTTTTTCTCATATTCTTGTCTCTCCTCAACCTCACAGCTCCACCCTAAACCACACTTCTAGCTGATGACTCTGATTCCAACTTCAATAAGAATATTGAGACAATCAAAGAGTAGCTGCACAAACTCCACCACCACATCATTAATATCTGCACCCACATACTCTGTGTCCTTGGCTATTACTTCTGATCACTGGGGACTATTCTGTCCACCAGGGAACCTGAGGCAGTATCTGCAGACGTTTTTGACTGTCAAAACTGGTAGTAGTGCTATTGGAATCTAAATGTTTTGTAATACACAGGACAGCCTCCACAACAATCAGCCAATCTAAAATGCCAACAGTGCCAAGATGAACTATCTATGCTCCTACCTAAAGCCTGTCCCTCCACTAGATTCCTTCCCCTTATATGCTCCAGTAAGAATCCTCTCCACTGCTCTCCTATATCCAGCTTTTGCTTTCCATTGGATCACAAAAGTAAAAAGAATCTCTTAACTTAACCTCTGTTATCATGTTCCACCCTATTTCTCTGGTCCCCTTGTGAAAAATTCCCCAGAGTTGCCCATAACAATTGCTAACCATCTCCAATTTCTCTCTTTCGCTCTCTTTTTTTTTTAAGTACATGTGCTGCTGAAGCGAGCACCCATTCTCTTTTAAACATCAGTCAAGCTTTCACTCTCACCAATTCACCAAAACAGCTTTTGTCAAGACCACCAATAATCTCCACATTACTAACTCCTATGGTTAACCCTCCCTCATCTTACTTGACCTATCAGCACCACAGCTGATCACTTGCTCCTTCTCAGCATATTTTCTTCATTTGGCTTCTTGAACACTACACTCAACATTCTTCTGGGTTTTGTTTTTTTTTTTTACCTCAATAGGCAATCTTCATTTGCTGTACCTTCCTTATACTCCTGAACTCTTAATGTTGGGAGGACTCCTGGCCTCAGTACACAGTCTTCTCTATCTATATTCCCTCCTGTGGAGATCTCATTCTATCCAATGGCTTTAAATTCCATCTATATATCAATGACTCCCAAATACATATCTCCAATCCAGACTCCTCTCCTAAACTCCAGACTAATATACTGAACTCTGTACTAGATATTTCCACTTGGTTATCACATGTCCGAAATAAACTCTTAATCTTCCCTCAAAACCTATTCTTCACCACTCAGTAGATGGCAACTCCATTTCTGCAGCTGTTCAGACCAAAAACCAGGACTTGTCTTGGTTCTTTTTCTTACACTTCATATCCAGCCATCCGGAAAGCCTTGGCTCTATCTTAAAAACATACCTAGAATCCAACATTTTTTAAATCTCCATTTCATCTGCAATAATGAATAAGGCCTCCTAATTAATGGGCCTACTCCCATCATTGCATGCCTACAGTTTATTCTCAATTCAGTAGTCAGAATAACTATTAAAAATGTCAGATCACGTCAGTCTTCTGTAAAAAATGACCCAATGGCTCCCCCTCATTTCACCTAAAGAAAATCCAAAGGTCTTACAGTGGCTTACAAAACCCCACATAATCTGGTCCCTAGTACCCTCTGATCTCATCCTCTATCGCTCTCCCCTTTGCTTACTCCATTCCACCCACAATGGCCTCCTGCTCTTCTTAAAACACTCCAAGCATGCTCCCATTTTAGGGCCTTTGCACTAGCTATCCTCTCTAAGAGGATCTACTAATACTCTTCCCTCAGAGAGCTCACAGCCACTCTCTTACCTCCTTCAAAAGTCTGAGAAGGTGATATCAGGATCACCCTACCACTCCAATCACCCTATTTAATGATACAACCTGTCCCTCCACTTTGTCCCTTACTTTTCTTTTCTCTATAGCTCTTATCACCTTCTAACATACTACAAACTTTATTTATTAAATTGTTTATCATCTGTTTCTAATACTAGAATGTAAGAAAAAACATAAGTGAACAATTATAAATATCCTTTATATGTGTTGTGTGTGTGTGTGTATATATATATACATAAATATGTATATGTATATATATTCATACAATATCCACTATTTACTATACTTTTGTCCTGTTTCCAAAGGAATTCCCACCAACACTTGAGCTGCATTTCTCCAATCTTCTTCTTTCTCATATATGGATGCAAGATGCTGTCTTATGGAAGCAACCTGAAATAGCAGGTATACATGTTATATCAACTGACATTAGTTAACTAATTAAAATAAATAAATAAGTTTATTGCAATAATGCTCTCATTCAACATAGCAAGCTGGCAAGTATAAATAATAAAAGTTTACTGAGACCACCCAAACTTTTCTATAAATTTTGTATTCATAGAATATCAAAATACTAAACTGAAATAACACATTATTACAATGTGGATTATGAAAATTTAGTTTAAATATTAAGTTTTGCTTTTATGTTACTACATAGATAATGCTAGAGTTTTCCTACATTTTCCGCATAATTAAAAATTCAACTCATTTTTTAAAAACTGCCTAAAGAGTAATATTTGGTGCATAAAATCATGTTGTAATAAATGAGCAAATATCCTAATATTTACATATCCTAATATGTAAATTAGGATTTACAACATCCTAATATTTATTTTGTTGTATATTATAAAAATGCTTTAGCATAATTCTGACAAAATGAAACTAAATGATTATCTCCTTTAAAAATTTAATAATATCTCAAAATAACTGTTGCTATCTCACGTTCAAATATCACTGCTCTAGATTTTTACCTGCTCCTCAAATGAAATGACTCTAGGCTGGATCTTTTCCAAGGTGAAATGATAGATTTCTTTGGCTGTGCTATCAGGCAAATTAGGGAGATGTGTGCAGAAATCAGTCAGCAACTGTCGAGAGATCACGAGGCTGACATTTTCATTTACCACTTGTCAAAAAAAATAAGAGATAAGAAAACATAAGTAATTTATAAATTTTTTACTAAGCAATCAATCTTTACCTAAAATTAATACTAAAAATAATATATATTAGTGCAACCTGCAAGGCATTATTCCTGGATTTTCATACCCATATCATTTTATATTACAGAATAAGTTTTCCTTATGCAGAATTATTTAATTACATAATGACAACAAAATATTAAAACTACCATAACTTCTCTAAGATATACAAATGGTTAAAAAAGTTTTAAAAGTTGAGAATTTTATATAATTCCTTACTCTTCTTTATTTTCATACAAAGTAAAGGCACAGAAACACCCATATTTTTATTATGTCCTTACATCCCACCTAGATTTTTAAAAAAGTTAAAGAAGAAAAGTATGAAATAATTTTCATAAAATTTAAATAAAGCAAGTAGTGACAGTTACTACCACTTATGCTTCCCAATAAAAGCAACAGCCCTGGCCAGTTTGGCTCAGCAGTTAGAGCATCGGCCCATGGACTAGAGAGTCCCAGGTTTGGTTCCTGCTAAGGACACGTACCTCGGTTGCAGTTTGTCCCCAGCCCCAGTTGGGGTCGTGTGGGTGACAACCACTAGATGTGTCTCTCTCACATCGATGTTTCTCTCTCTCTCTTCCTCCCTTCTCCCTCCTGCTCAATCTGAAGATAAATGCAAAAATGTCCTTGGGTGACGATTAAAAAAAAAACAATAAAAGCAACAAATAAGAACTTAGGTCAGCATTAGAAGTACTGATATGTTTTATGACATAATTTATAAACATTATGAGGTTACTATTGTATGTGATTAAGGATGGAAGTTCTGGAGCCACACTGCTTTCACCACTCCCAATTATACAACCTCAGACAAGCAGCTTTTCTGTGCTTCTGCTTCCTCATCTGTAAAATGAGGACAAGACTGTTGTGAAGTTTAAAGGCAATACACATAAAGCACTTTGAACAATGCCCGGCATACAGCCCTCAACAACTGTTAGTTATGCCCTGGCCAGTTTGGCTCAGCAGTTGGAGCGTCAGCCTGCGGTACAGAGAGACCCAGGTTCGGTTCCCGCTAAGGGCACGTACCTCGGTTGCAGTTTGTCCCCGGCCCTGGTTGGTCGTGTGGGTGGCAGCCACTCGATGTGTCCCTTCACATTGATGTTTCTCTCTCTCTCTCTTCCTCTCTCTCCCTCCTGCTCTATCTGAACAAAAAATGGAAAAATGTCCTCGGGTGAGGATAAAAAAAATAAATAAATAAAATAAACAACTGTTAGTTATTATTTATACTATTATTAAATTGCTTTAAATGCATTGTACTTGTGAACCACTGCTTAGATAAGCTGTCTTAAATCAGCAATTACTGTGAAAATAAATGATGGTTCAAAAACTGTGCAGTTGAGCCCTGGCTGGTTTGGCTCAGCGGTTAGAGTGTTGGCCCACAGACCAAAGGGTCCCGGGTTCAATTCTGGCCAAGGGCATGTACCTCAGTTGAAGTTCGTTCCTGGCCCCGGTTGGGGTCGTGCAGGTGGCAACCAATCGATGTGTCTCTCTCACATCAATGTTTCTCTCTCTCTCTTCCTCTCTCCCTCCCTCCTGCTATATGTGAAAAACAAAAACAAAAAGAACTTGTTCAGTTGATATAATTTTAACAGAAGATTGCTTTCGTTGGCAGTTCTTTGGATTCAAAGTTAAAGATCAAAGTTTTCAAATATCACTATTCTTTTTCTACTACAATGTTCTCAATAAAACTAGTCTTAGCAGTTTTTCTGAAACCAATGCCAGTTCATCTCACATTGCAGGCCCCAATTTTTTGAGGCAATAACTTACAGGCCTTGTAATTAATCAGTTTATAATATATTAATTGGAATTCATTATTAAGTACTGGTTGCGAGGTGGGGGGGAAGAAGAAACATCTGTAACAAAAATAAAAATTACAGAAAAAAAAATACTGGTTGTGACTGACAACCAGTTACATTACTAGTACCATTAGAAAGAAATTACTATACAACCTAACACTTCTCAGGGAAAAACAAGTAAATAAGGACTATAAAGCAGAAAAGTTACTTTCCATTCTGGGCTCTTCCAATGACTAGATGTTCTTGGGGGGAAAAAGTCACTTAATCTTGACTTTCACAATATATTAAGCAATGATATCTATATCTATACTCTGTAGTCACAGAGTTATTAAAAGGAAGCTGTGTGATGGACAATGTGTGAGAAAGCATGCTGTAAACTGTAAAGTACTATCAAGTATCATTGTTTTGTTAATTCAGTATCAATTACAGCCTAAAATTTTGAATATTTTTCAAGATAATTATTTAAAGTCAGGGAGTAGAGAGAGTATATTGAAGAAAGGAAATTTCTAATGCCTATTTAAAAGGAATCATCCTGCCCTAGCCAGTTTGGCTCAGTGATTAGCGTGTCAGCCCACAGACAGAAGGGTCATGGGTTTGATTCCCAGTCAAGGGTTGCAGGTTTGATCCCTGGCCCCAGTTGGGGTCATGTGGGAGGCAACCAATCAATGTGTCTCTCTCAATATCGATGTTTCTCTCTCCCTCCCTCCCTCCCTTCCATTCTGTCTAAAAAAAAATCAATGGAAAAATACCCTCAGGTGAGGATTTAAAAAAAAAAAAAAGGAATGATCCAACACTAATAACAGCTCACTCTTACATAGCACTAACTACATGCCAGGTACCGTTCTAAGCCCTTTATTATGTATAATAACTCATTTAATCTCCCAACAATTCTACAGGGTACATATCATATCCTCACTTTATAGACAAGGAAAAGGAGACATAAATAAGTTGAATAACTTACCCAAGATGACACAGCTAATAAACTAGCAGAATAGGACTTGAATGCAGACTACTTTCTTTGTCATTATGCTATATTGTCTCTCATCAGTTACTATTATCAACAACTATACAAAATCTTAATTGGGACTATAACTCTGAAGACAACTCATTAAAAAGAAAAAAATTAAGTTGTACAGCCGGTTTGGCTCAGCGGTCAGAGCATCGGTGTGCAGTCCAGAGAGACCCGGGTTCGGTTCCCGCTAAGGGCACATACCTCAGTTGCAGTTTGTCCCTGGCCCTGGTTGGTCGTGCGGGTGGCAGCCACTCGATGTGTCCCTTTCACGTCGATGTTTTTCTCTCTCTCTCCCTCCCACTCTATCTGAACAAAAAATGGAAAAATGTCCTCAGGTGAGGATTAAAAAAAAAAAAAGGAAAAATGTCCTCGAATGAGGATTAAAAATAAATAAATTAAATTGTACCTAGTTTAAATTATAAAATAAATCCATCAATTTCAATGTACAGAGTGGGGCAAAAGTAGGTTTACAGTTTTTTGTATGGAAAATAATACAATAATAAATAATAACACAAGAATAAACTGTTTTGCATACGCACAACTGTAAACCTACTTTCGCCCCACTCTATATATTTAATTTAATGTCATAAAAATGTATTGACAATTTGATATAAAACAAGGCTGAGGCAAGCTTTAAAGTCCTATTCAGTAATACATAGGAAACATGGAATTTTCATTCTACTTACTTGCTTCCACAAAAGCTTTCAAAGCTTCTAGTTGTTCTGCCCCAGATAACTGAATGGCTTTTTCCAGGATCTGACGATACCTAAAACAATACCAAATAAAAATAATATTCAGAGGACTCTATATATTCTAATGTTCACTTTGATATTTATTCATTTCTACTTACCCTGGTGTCTTGGTTTTCTTTATAGCACACCACAGATTTTTTTTTTTTTAAGTTTCTAGTCCATCATAAGAAAGAGTGAATCTATAATTATAAGTTACTGGATCTAAGGTGCCACTTTTGCTTGCAAGTTTGTTTTTAATTTCATCTAAAAAGTCAATCTAGCCCTGGCAGGTGTGACTAATTTGGGTGGGCATTGGCCCACGCACCAAAAGGTTGCCAGTTTGATTCCGGGTTGGGGCATATGCCCGGGTTTTGGGCTCAATCCCCAGTAGGGGGTGTGCAGGAGGCAGCAGATTGATGTTTCTTTCTCTCTCTCCCTTCCTGTCTCTCTAAAATCAATAAAAACAAATTTTAAAACCACTCTTTAAAAAAAGAAATGTCGCCCTGGCTGGTTTGGCTCAGCAGTTAGAGTGTCGGCCTGCGGTCCGGAGAGACCCGGGTTCGGTTCCCGCTAAGGGCACGTACCTCGGTTGCAGTTTGTCCCTGGCCCTGGTTGGTCGTGCGGGTGGCAGCCACTCGATGTGTCCCTTTCACATCGATGTTTCTCTCTCTCTCTCTCTCTCCCTCCTGCTCTATCTGAACAAAGAATGAAAAAGTGTCCTCGGGTGAGGATAAAAATAAATAAATAAATAAATAAAAAATAAAAAAAGAAATGTCAATTTATAATTCTAAGGTGCCACTTCCAGTTTGCTTTACCACATACCACAACTTAATTTTTCAAGCCCATCATAAGAAAAGGTGAATCTAGAAGTTACTAGATCTAAGGTGCCACTTTTGCTTAAAAGTTGTAATTTCAAATTTAAACTAAAACATCAATTTCCTTTCAAATGCCTTAAATGATAAGCCACTATTTCCTTCAGTTATGTATTACACAGACACAAGAACATTATGGGAGGTGACCCAGAACCCTTTCCTCTTATGGACCTAATGAATCTAGAGTTACTGACAATGTCAACTAGACAATGAAACTAAATATTAGAGATTGAATGTCTTAGTATGCAAAATAAACTCCAGCTAGCCAAATGTACTAATAGTACACCCTTTATGCTCTCATCCATGCATATTAATTCTTTATTTGCATTCAACCCTAATAAGTATTCTGACTAATATTCATGACCATGTAAGATTCAAATCATTCTAAAAAGAATGGGGAAAATGCTAAAAACAGAAACAATGACAATTATTAGGCAATGGCAAATTCCTTCCTAAAATGTAAACTCCATGGAGACAGGGATTTTTCTTTGCTTTGTTCACTGTTATATATACAATGCCTAGAACAGTACTTGGCACATCATAAGCACTCAAGTATTCAACAATATTGGTAACATTTTATTAATTTATTTCATTTTATTTATTGGTAATTATTTTATTTCTTAAATTAAGTGGTGGGCACATGAGTGTTATACTATTTTATCCCTTTCATTTGTCTTAATCATAATACATATTAAAAGCATTTGTTAATTCATTTTACAAACCTAACAGCATTGCAATTCTTCAGAATATCATTTAGAATATAGTCAAGTAATAAAAATATAAAAATAGGGTCCACAAGAGGTCACTGGTTTGATTCCCTGTCAGGGCACATGCCCAGGTTGTGGGCCTAATTCCCTGCGGGGGGCATGCAGGAGGCGACCAACTGATGTTCTCTCTCATTGATGTTTCTATCTCTCCCTCTCCCTTCCTCTCTCTCTAAAATCAATAAAGAAAAAAAAATTTTTTTTTAAATAGGGTCCAAACTCATTCAGCATTTTTTGATTCTCAACTCATACAATATTCTCACAACCTTCATTATATGATTTCTCAAAACTGCAATGAATCAAACTGACTTTGTAAGAAAGCAGGTATACTGACAGAAAAGACAGCCAACTCCAAAACAGATGAATTATTTTAAGGAAAGCAAAGAAATACTGTTAAGCTTTAAAATAAAAACTTATTTTAAAAAGTGCTACATTTGAGGCATGAAATTCAGATATCTATCTCATTTTCTCTCTCCATACACACACACATCCACATAAAATATTCTCCATATCTATATTTATACATTTACTTTACTGCCCTGGGTGTACTTTTAGTTAATGGTCAGTGGTTTATTATTTCTTTTTTTGATTGGCTTCTTTTTCATATTCAATTAAGTCAAGGCTTATGGCTAAGCTCTCTTACTCTTATATCCCTATAGATTATTTTATACTAAAAACATTATATTCAAAGATGACAATGTCTCACTTGTTAAAATTTGCTGACTAACCTAAGTTTTAACACACAGTTTCCTAACTTATCAATCAACAAATGTGTATTAGAAACACTAAAATAAATATAAAAAGTGACGAAAGCTTTATATTAACAAATTATATAATTCACCAGGGCCTTACTCTTGACTTTTATAGATTAAGGTACAAACAGAGTTGGGGCTAGATATTGCCTTGCTCCTTCTCTACGATGTAAATGCCAGTATCTAAGACCAGAACTTACTTTTTCACAGTAATAACATGGAATGCCTAATAAACATATTTTATTTTATTTTTATTTTTTTTTATTCCTCACCTGAGGATATTTTTCTAACTTACTTTCAGATAGAGTGGGAGGGAGGGAGAGAGAGACAGAGAGAAGCATCAATGTGATAGAATCGCATCGACTGGTTGCCTCCTGCACAAGCCAACCAGAGCAAGGGACAACCAGAGCAACTGAGGGACATGCCCTTGATCGGAATCAAACTAGCGACTCTTCATCCGCGGGCTGACACTCTAACCGCTAAGCCAAACTGACCAGGGCTAATAAACCTATTTTTAAATCAGAGATTTAAATAGCCACTTTGTGGTGCCATACAAAATGCTAATTGAGCACCTAGCCTTTTAAAGATGCTATATGAGCCCTGGCCAGTTTGGCTTAGCAGTTAGAGCATTGGCCCACGTACCAAAGGGTCACGGGTTCAATTCCCAGTCAAGGGTATGTACCTGGGTTGCAGGTTTGATCCCTGGTCCCGATTAGGGTCATGCAGGAGGCAGCCAATCAATGTGGCTCTCTCACATCGATGTTTCTCTCTTTCTATCTCTCTCTCCCTCCCTTCCATTCTATCTAAAAATCAATGAAAAAAATATCCTCAGGTGAGGATTAACAAACAAAATAAAAAATAAATAAAGATGCAATATGAGATTCTGTGTATACACCAAAAATTTTAAATAATCTTAGTCTTTGAAGATCTTATAATATAGCTGGGAAAATAAATTTTTTTTAAATCAAATAATATATCAAGTATAAAACAAAAACAAACAGCCCAGCCAGTGTGGCTCAGTTGTTGAGTATCACCCCATGTACCAAGAGGTCACTGGTTCAATTCCAGGTCAAGGCACATGCCCAGGTGGGCCAAATCACCAGTCAGGGGGCATGCTGGAGGCAACCAATCGATGTTCTCTCATCGATGTTTCTATCTCTCTCTCTAAAATCAATAAAGAAAAAAAAAGTAGTAAAAAAACAAAAACAAGTTACAATAAAACTAAACAGTATAAGAGATGTAAGTGAGGTAATATTTTAATTCAAAAGAGAGTAAAACCAAAATGAGTGAGATTAGTCAGAAGGCATTTTATTAAAAATAACAATAGCATTTTATTGAGCACGCAGTATGCACTCAGTGAAAAAGATGGAAAGCCCGGCTGGTGTGGCTCAGTGGATTGAGTGTTGTCCCATAGAATGAGAGGTCCTGGTTTGATTCCCAGTCAGGGCACATGCCCGGGTTGCAGGCTCAATCCCCAGTAGGGGGTGCACAGGAGGAAGCTGATCCATGTTTCTCTCTCACATTGATGTTGCTATCTCTCTCTCCCTTCCTCTTTCTAAAATATCAATAAAAACTTTTTTAAAAAAAAAAAGGATGGAAAAGTAACTGATGTGCAGAACATGACAAATATCAAATATTTTTTCCTTAAAAAATATTATGAGTCTTCACTGGTGTGGCTCAGATGGCTGGAGCATTGTCCCAGCACTGGAATGTCTAGGGTTAGATTTCCGGTCAGGGCCCATACCTAAGTTGTAGGTTTGATCTCTGGTTGGTGAGGGTGTGGAGAAAAGGGGACTCTAGTACACTGCTGGTGGGAATGCAGACTGGTGCAGCCACTATGGAAAACAGTATGGTGTTACCTCAAAAAATTAAAAATTGAACTGTCGCCCTGGCCGGTTTGGCTCAGCGGTTAGAGCGTCGGCCTGCGGTCCTGAGAGACCTGGGTTCGGTTCCCGCTAAGGGCGCGTACCTCGGTTGCAGTTTGTCCCCGGCCGTGGTCGGTTGTGCGGGTGGCAGCCACTTGATGTGTTCCTTTCACATTGATGTTTCTATCTCTCTCTCTGTTCCTCTCTCTCCCTCCCACTCTGCCTGAACAAAAAATGGAAAGGTGTCCTCGGGTGAGGATAAAAAAAAAAAAAAAATTGAACTGTCATTTGACCCAGTGATCCCACTTCTAGGAATATACCCTAAGAAGCCTGAAACACCAATCAGAAAGAATATATGTACCCCCATGTTCATAGCAGCATTATTTATAATAGCTAAGATCTGGAAACAACCCAAATGTCCATCAGTAGACGAATGGATAAAAAAGCTGTGGTACATATACACAATGGAGTACTATGCAGCTGTAAGAAAGAAAGATCTCCTATCCTTTGAGACGACATGGAGGGACCTGGACAGTATTATCCTAAGCGAAACAAACAAAGCAGAGAAAGACAAATATCACATAATCCACTTATTTGTGGAATATAATAAACACAACAGTCTGAGGGACGGGGTAGTCCCAGAGACGTGGAAGTGGGGTACAGACTGACAATCCCCAGAAGGGGTGGGGGGAGATAAACCACAGAACCTATATGCATATATGTATGAACAATGGACATGGACAACAAAGGTGGGAACAGGGTAGGGAGGGAGAGGGAGGGGG